ACTGAAATAACGAGTCAAATGCCAAAAGTTTAATCAAAGCTGTAGTAATGTTTCAAATGAAATGAAATAAAGAAGACTGTCAGGATCCTGCTAAGCTGGCAATCGGGAAATTTTGATTGGATATGAAAGTGCATTCAATGTTGAGTCCGAATATGTAATTTATATTGTCCTGTGACCTCTGGTTCGGCCGCAGTGACCACTTTAATCAGGAAATTTTTTATATAAAATGTCAACATGTCATATATCAATTTTATAGAAAATATTACGTAGAATTCGATGATATTAATTTAATTAATTAATAACGTCATTTTCGCCCGAAAATTGTTAGATGATCGCTTTAAAATCTTTAAAATTGCGTTATATTTGTTAAATATTAATGTTTCACAATTGTTACTTAAATAAACAAGTTCCTTATAAAATTCTCCACAAAATTGATATATCACATGTTTATATTTATTATTATAAAATAAACTGATAAAAGTGGTCATTGAGGTCAAATAAGGTAATATTTGCTAAGCTGGCAATTTGGGTTCTACATTTTAATATAAAAGTACTCTTTATTTTCCTTATAAAATTCTCCACAAAATTGATATATCACATGTTGACATTTTATATAAAATATTTCCCGATAAAACTGGTCACTCAGGCCGATCCCGAAGTCACAGGACAATATAAATTACATATTCTGACTCAGCATTGAATGGACGTTCATATCCAATCAAAAATTCAGATTGCCAGCTTAGCAAAAAGACATAACATAATACTGTTCCAAGAAAGTAATGAGTATTGGTGAAGGACAGTCAGTTAGTAACTTAACTATTTATTTACATAAGTAACGATATTTATACTCTATAGTGCTGTACCGCCCAATATAAAGTCTCTAAGAGGGGGTGGCGTACTATCTAGGTAACACACCATGCTATTTTGAAGTCTACCCGAGACTGGGACCTGTCACATAAGGCGCCATGGCGCCTAAAGTTAGAGAATTCGGTATATAGTAATTATCATAATATGTGAACACATTTTAACCACATTTAATGGCATGTATTTAGTTACAAACTAATTGTAAACACGTTTAACCCATACAACTGCTGTTTATTATAGCATTTTATAGCTTTAAATAAACTGCAAACAAATGACTGATAACTAGTGAATCACTTTTGTATACAATCTATGAGTCAAATGTATATCACAATTAATTTCAATTCATTTTTAATCATATTTTCCGTTTGATTGCAAAATTCATATTTGTTACATCACTCAATAAGTCAAATGTGAACACAAATAATGTCCTAATAAACTGTCCAATAGTCAAACCCTAACGCATTTCTCATACCATTTTCAATGGACTTTTCGCACATATTTCCCACATTTATGGCATAATTGATGGCAAAAAGTATTGCATTGAGTTTTCGCTGACACACTGACAGCCAATAAAAGGGTTTTATTTTCATTGAGTTTTACAGCATTTGTAAACAAAAAGTGATTTCAAATTAATGTTTAGTTTAATTTGGTTTGAAATGAAAGTAATTATGTTTTGTTTGCATTGAAACAAAAGCCCAAAAATGGGCGACAGATGTGTTCGCCGAAGAAGTGAGAGATTACTCCACAAACGGCACGAAGAAGTGGCGGCCGAAGAGGTGGTGTCCGCCAGTCATAAGACATCGCAATNCCTTAAATCCCTGGAATCTATTAATACGAAACAGTTTCCAACAATAAAAACCATCCCTTTTCTGACCCAACCTTTCCATCAGTGATAATAACTATTGGTTTAAAAATTATATTCATTTAAAATGTAATTAATTAATTTATCGTGTTAATACCTTTATTTTAATATTTAATTTAAATCTTTGATCACGAGGTGTTAAAAATGAGTTTAATATTTTATATGAATTAATTGATTGTCTATTAAGTATGGCTGAAAAGTGTATAATAAATAACAAGGTTAACACAAATCCAATAAATTGGGCAAAAATAATTAATTTAATTATTATGAATATTTTAGCAAATATTGATAAAAATAATAAAAATATTAAATGCAAAACAACTAATATCCAATAAATGCCCAAGTACCTAGACCAATAAATAGTATTATAATCATTTATTTCCAGAAATATATCATTGAATATATGAATAATTTTCTGTAGTTTAATATTTGGTCTGAATTTATCAATATTATTAAAATTATAAGTAGCTGATTTAAGTTTTAATGTCAAATAATATGTTATTATAGCGTAATATGTTAAGTGAGTAATCGTAATGGCACATAGGTAATAGGCGTAATATGTCCATAGTAAAATATGTGGTAAAACACATATAATTAAATACACTGAAGTTAATTTAAAAAGAAATGTTAATGATACTATTATTAAAATCAATAGGGAATTACATTTTAACAAATTTTCAGTAATTGTGATACATTTCCGCGAAAATATGAGTAATTTATAAGTGATACGTTTGTCGCGAATACCAATACTAATGGGTGTTATTAAACCCGAAAGCATCCAAAATACACACAAATCCCGCGGTTTTATGCCTTTCCAGTAGTTATAGTAATTCAATAATTGTATCAACAACATAATCAATCCACTGTTTATACATAATATAGACATCTGCACCCTTATACCCATGAAAAAAGATATATCTCCATAGATAGTATAAAATGTTAAATCTTGTGTAGGAATTAGTATTAAAAATATTTGTTTCAAAAACATTATAAGAATTAATATAAATGCAAAAATCGGGCTATAAATGAGTAAACGGTTTGTGGCATTGAATGGCTTATAGAGTGAGAGACCTATACTGTAGAGATGAGTCCCGGCCCTCGCAATCACCAATGAGCCTGGTAATACTGCATCACATTTAATCAAGTTATTAGGTTGGACTTTCATTGTTTCTGAAATAATATACTGTATTATAAATTTATATTCTGTATGTACGACAGAAAATACAAAACTATATTTAATATGTTTCATATTAATCAAAAGCATCGTAATTATAATAAAAATCGATATTTTGTTACACAATAGACTATATTAGTGCAAAAATTATATATATATTATTGTAGATGTTTATCGCATAAAAGCAATTAATTTAATTAATTATCAATAGTTTTATTCTCATACAAAACATATGACACGTTATAATAGATATTCTCAACATAAAAAAAAATAATTATAGTTGAATTTTGTTATGAAATATAAATTAATTTTATATTAAATAAATTTTGTAACAATAGTAATCTCATTTTATAACATTACCTTTTATCCACTTAGAAATAAACAATAATTTTAAATTTCAACACAATCATGAATACTAGATTGCTAAAAATCAATTTGAATCAGACCTGTCTGTATACCCTTAGTTAAAGTGTAATTATTTAACATAAATTGACATTTTATAAATTACTAAAATCATGTTGATAACATTTAAAATAGGAATATTAAATTTTATGTCTAGTTAGAAATGTCAATGATAAATTTAATAGTTTAAGATAGTTTAAATTAATATAATTTTAAAATAAATTATTAAATCTAACAACCTTATTTGCAATTTAGCATGCTTGTCGATTAAGCGTTTGTTGACTATTCATAAATAATATTTATTTCAATAAAATTGTGTATTGATTTAACATTATAAGAAAGTATTAAATTTAACAATTAAATTAAGTTAGTACAAATTTAGCTTACTTTATTTAATTACGTACACTTTAATTATGAACGTTTGATAATAATTAAAACAAAACAATAATTAAAACAGTGTTGTGGGTCAAACTAATTATACACTAATAAATATGTAAGCAAAATGGTTCATAATATATTTTATTTTATACATCATACGAGTCATTATACTTTTATCTAATGATTATTAGAAATATTGCTTACATTTCAAAAATTCAAATCAGTTTTATTTAGAAATTCAAATTGTTTATGAATATATTAAAACATTTTTATATTAAATATTATAATATTTTTACTATTATTTTTAATTATTTATGAACATTACATTCAATTAACTAGCGACATTTTAGTTTATTTTTATATTATAACATAAGCGTATAAACATATTATAACACTAGCAACATAATTATATTATAATTATAGTATTTATTACAATTCAATACCAGCTTTATGATGATACTTCAATAATTTAATATAAAATAAACCAATGGTGCATATGATCTATAACATAATATAAATTATACATGTTAACTAAACTAACAAGGTAAATTAAAATTACCTTAAATCCCTGGAATCTATTAATTCGAAACAGTTTCCAACAATAAAATCCATCCCTTTTCTGACCCAACCTTTCCATCAATGATACTAACTATGGGTTTAAAAATTATAATCATTTAAAATGTAATTAATTAATTGTGCTAATACCTTTATTTTAATATTTAATTTAAACGTTTGATCATGAGGTTTTAAATATGAGTTTAATTTATTATACGAATTAATTGATTGTCTATTAAGTATGGCTGAAAAGTGTATAATAAATAGCAGGGTTAACATAAATCCGATAAATAGGACAAAAAGAAATAATTTAATTATTATGAATATTTTAGCAAACATTGATAAAAATAATAAAAATATCAAATGCAAAACAACTAGCATCCAATAAATGCCCAGGTACTTAGACCAATAAATAGTGTTATAATTATTTATCTCCAAAAATATATCATTAAATTTACGAACAATTTTTTGTAAATTAATATTTGGTCTGAATTTATCAATATTATTAAAATTATAAGTAGCTTAATTTTATTTTAGATATTAATGTGAATGGAAAGAAATAAATATTTATAATGAATTATTTTTTTAAAATAAATTAAATAAACTATTATACCAATCTTGTCATAAAAATATAAATGGCTAGGTAAACATTTTTAACAGTAATTTTGGCAATGATAAACAATGTAAATTTCTAAATACAGTAAACCTTTTATTGCAAAAATATATTTAGTTTATTAAATCTTAACTATTCTGATTAATAATTAAAAAATTATGATTACATGCAAATTTGTAGATAAATATACTTATATCTAAATATGTAAACGCATTTACATAAACATCCATGGATTAATCAAGTATGATAAATATAATCACAAAATATAATATATTTCAAAAATTATTAAACATATTGTGAATATTTAGTACGAGATTATTATTATATAAACAAAGTTTAGTATAATATAAACAAAATTTATTATAAATACTTTTTAAAAATTGATGAAAAATTTAATATGTGTTTGTTGTTTGACAAATTATAAAGTTTTCATAATAAATAAAATTAGTTGTTAATCTTATAAAGTATACAGGTTGTTTATATAAATCATAAAATTTAAATTATAATTAAATTTACTATTTTTATTGCATAATTATTATTAATATGATTATATTTTCTAATTATATGTACGCTATTAATGTTTTATACCGTATCATACTAGAAAGGTCATTTTAAAAACCATATTAATATGAATGACGAACTGGAGGCTCGTATTAAAACCCACCCATACCTACCCAACCCGGTTATAATGGACTTCCTGTCCATACAAGATAATGATGAAAATATATCCGATGATATAGTCTACCAAAAACCCGAAACTAGTGGCTATCCTCGTAATACCGGTCCTAGAGCTTACCAAACCTCTACTGACTATCAATACTGCATAATACCGGCGCCCGATATGGGCCATACGGATGTCGATTGTGTCATATGTCATACACCGGCTATTAATCCCATGCGATGTACCGGTGCTCATGAACGGGACATTGCCTACCACTCCAACGAAGGTTACGGTAAAAGGGTTTACCATTTTATATGCTACCAGTGCTTAGGCAAGTATATGATTAGCGAGAGCTCAGATTGTGTGATGTGTCCCACAAATTGCGGCAATGAGTACCGGTTGGGTAGCCTTAAGCCTATGAATGCAAAATTCACACAACTGTCCCTTAAATACATGACATGGTGCGCTAACAATTGTAGTCATATGGGGTCACCGGTAGCCATGGCCGCCCATATATGCCCACTGGCAAATGGTCATGATATTGGATATACGTATATTCAACGCGATTTTATGAAGAAAATGAAAATGGCGCAAGATGTTCCCGCTCAACTGTATAAGCAAAGACATAAACTTAGCCTGATGCATGCTAACAAATTACGGGTCACTAAATGCAAATTGATGGCCGCAAACACCTCTAAAGCGCGGCTAATGTTGTCAAATAAAATGTTGGCCAAAAAGCTCCGGGATCATAAAAAGAAATTGAAAAATATTATAGATAAAAGGTAAAATGGGCTGTGTGTTTATAGATTTTATAACCCACCATTTAACCCCCCTCATTTAATAACCACAAACATGCATATGCATAAAAAATATTCCCTCTCCATCCATTTTCTATGGTGTAATCTACCTTGGTATGCATTTCTATGAATGGCCCTAACATATATTCTATGCAAATGTACCTTTGTGAATGACCCCCCAGGGAACTATAATTATTTTTATTTATAAATAGCAATACAAGTAAAAAAGATACAAGCAAGGCAACTTTGACGACTAAAAATAAATGGAGCTTTTGGGGACAAAGCTTGGTTGTTGACGAATATGTGCGAGATAATTGTCCGCGTAGAATTATTGAGCTTGGTCGTATGATGGACAAATTTCGGTATTTAATAGACGTGGCATCGCCAAGGAAACTGGCTCACTTGAAAGGAATTAACCTGGATTATTGGCGCGAGCAAGTGGAAAATGTCACCCATGTCATATCGACCGAGATTTATGAAATAAAGGGTGACATAGGTTGTTTTTATGTGCAACAATCTAGTATTGATGATTTTTTTGAAATTGTGAATGATTATTTATATCTAAGTGGATTGAAGGTAATGATAGAAAATGATATTGCTATATCTAAAACATTTATTTAATTTTTAAAAAACTAATACTATTTCATAACAAAATAAAATTATAGTTATAATAATTTTTTATGTTAAGAATATCTATTGTAACATGCCACGTGTTGTGCATGATAATTAAACTATTAATAATTAATAAAGTTAATTATTTTATGCGATAAACATCTACACTAATAATGTGTTTTATGTAAGAAAGTATCGATTTTTATTATAATTATGATGTTTCTGACAAATATAACACATATTAAATAAAGTTTATATTGCATTTTTAGTAGTATAGTATAAATATTTTATATCAGAAATAATGAAAGTCCAACCTAATATTTTAATTAAATGTGATAAACTGTTACCAGGGTCATTGGTGATCGGGAGGGCCGGTACTCATCTCTACAGTATTGGTCTCTCACTCTATAAGCCATTCAATGCCACAAACCGTTCGCTCATTTTTAACCCAATTTTTATATTTATATTAATTCTTATAATGCTTTTGAAAACTGTAACTTTAATCTTAATTCCTAAACAAGATTTAAAGTTTTACGCTATTTATGGAGATATATCCTTTTTTATGGGTATGAGGGTGCAGATGACTATATTAAATATAAACTGTGGGTTCATTATATTGTTAACACAACTATTGAATTACTATAACTTCTGGAAAGGTATAAAACCGCGGGATTTGTGTGTATTTTGGATGCTTTCGGGTTTAATAACACCCATTAGTATTGGGATTCACGACAAACATATCGTCAAGAAATTACTCTTATTTTCACGAAAATGTATTGCTATTACAGAATATCAATTAAAATGTAATTCCCTGTTAATTATAATAGTAGTATTATCAGCATTTTTGTTTAAAATAAATTCAATTAATTTAGCTATATGTGTTTTCCCACACATTTTACTATGGACATATTACGCTATAATAACATATTATTTGACTTTAAAACTTAAATCAGCTACTTATAGTTTTAATAATATTGATAAATTTAGACCAAATATTAATTTACAAAAAATTATTCGTAAATTTAATGATATATTTTTGGAGATAAATAATTATAACACTATTTATTGGTCTAGGTACTTGGGCATTTATTGGATATTAATTGTTTTGCATTTGATATTTTTATTATTTTTATCAATGTTTGCTAAAATATTCATAATAATTAAATTATTTATGTTTTCCGTATTTATCGGATTTATGTTAACCCTGCTATTTATTATATACTTTTCAGCCATGCTTAATAAGCAATCAATTAATTCATATAAAAAATTAAACTCATTTTTAACACCTCGTGATCAAACATTTAAATTAAATTTTAAAATAAAGGTATTATTATTAACACAGTAAATTAAATAATTTCATTTTAAATGATTTTATTTTTAAACCTATAGTTAGTATCATTGATGGAAAGGTTGGGTCAGAAAAAGGATGGATTTTATTGTTGGAAACTGTTTCGAATAAATAGATTCCAGGGATTTAAGGTAATTTTAATTTGCCTTGTTAGTTTAGTTAATATGTATAATTTATACTATGTTATAGATCATATGCACCATTGGTCTATTTTATATTAAATTATTGAAGTATCATCATAAAGCTGGTATTGAATTATAATAAATACTATATTTATAAAATATTTTATAAAAATTGTACGTACATTTATTATACTATAATAAACTACTGACTTCTATATTATAAACTGTTATAAACTATTTTTATAACTTTGGTATGCACATTAATATAGAATTTAAAATTATAAATATATAATAATATAAACTGTAATTTCTAAATAATAGAAAAGATATTATAATCTAAAAAATTTAGAAAAATAACTTTGGTACTGATATAAATTATTTTGCCGGTTTCAGTAAATATCTAAATAAACCGTTTATTGAAAAAATATATTGAGTTTATTAAATCTAGACTATTCTGATTAATAATAAAAAATTATGCTCACATGCAATTTTGTAGATAAATATACTTATATCTAAATATGTAAACGCATTTATGTGTTGATGATTTTGTTAAAATTGTAAATGATTATTTATTTCTAAGTGGATTTAAAGTAATGATAGAAAATGAAATTACTATTGTCAAAAAGTTTATTTAATTTATATTTCATAGCAAAATAAAATTATAATTAAAATAATTTTTTATTTTGACAATAATTATTATAACGTTTCAAATGTTTTATATGAGAATAAAACTATTGGTAATTAATTTAATTAATTGTTTTTATTTGATAAACATCTACAATAAGATTATTATAATTACATATAGTTATTGCACTAATACTGTGTGTTGTTTAACAAAGTATCGATTTTTATTATAATTATGATGTTTCTGACAATTATAACACATATTGAAATATAGTTTGCTTTGTATTTTTAGTAGTGATGTACAGAATATATAATATAGTATTTTATATCAGAAATAATGAAAGCCAAACTTTTAAAATTGTAATTAGAAAATAAACTTTATAAATTAACCATTAAACATTAGTTTAATTAGGTTTTAAAATATAATGATTATAATAATTACTGTTTAATGGATGCTTGTTACTGAAATATAAATGCAGTATTCCTTTAATACTAAATACATATACGGTAGTTTCTTAAAATAATATTATACCTGATGTTTATTTAAATATAATATTATAATATTAACATAAATATTAATTATATGTTTAATATATAGAAGAATTATTTGTAATTCAAGTTTCAATAATCATGAATGTTAACCCACAAGTTACAATTAAATGCGATCAAGTATTACCAGGGTCATTGGTAATCGGGAGGGCTGGTACTCATCTCTACAGTATTGGCCTATCACTCTATAAGCCATTCAATGCCACAAACCGTTCACTCATTTATAGCCCGATTCTTACATTTATATTAATTCTTATAATGTTTTTGAAGCAAATAATTTTAATATTACTTCCTAAACAAAATTTAAAATTTTATACTATCTATGGTGATTTATCTTTTTTCATGGGTATAAGGGTACAAATGTCTATATTAGTTATAAACTGTGGATTAATTATACTGTTAACACAACTATTAAATTATTATAACTACTGGAAACGTATGAAACCGCGGGATTTGTGTGTATTTTGGATGCTTTCGGGTTTAATAACACCCATTAGTATTGGGATTTACGACAAACATATTGTTTATAAATTACTCATATTTTCACGAAAATGTATTACAATTACTGAATATTTGTTAAAATGTAATTCCCTTATGATTTTAATAATAGTATCATCGGCATTTTTGTTTAAATTAACTTCAGTGTATTTAATTATATGTGTTTTACCACATATTTTACTATGGACATATTACGCCTATTACCTATGTGCCATTATGATTACTCACTTAACATATTACGCTATAATAACATATTATTTGACTTTAAAACTTAAATCAGCTACTTATAATTTTAATAATATTGATAAATTCAGACCAAATATTAATTTACAAAAAATTGTTCGTAAATTTAATGATATATTTTTGGAGATAAATAATTATAACACTATTTATTGGTCTAAGTACTTGGGCATTTATTGGATTCTAGTTGTTTTGCATTTGATATTTTTATTATTTTTATCAATGTTTGCTAAAATATTCATAATAATTAAATTATTTCTTTTTGCCCTATTTATCGGATTTATGTTAACCCTGCTATTTATTATACACTTTTCAGCCATGCTTAATAAACAATCAATTAATTCGTATAAAAAATTAAACTCATTTTTAATACCTCATGATCAAACATATAAATTAAATATTCAAATAAAGGTTTTAACATGATAAATTAATTAATTACATTTTAAATGATTTTATTTTTAAAATCTATAGTTAGTATCACTGATGAAAAGGTTGGGTCAGAAAAAGGATGGATTTTAT